GAAAGGCGGTGAAATGATTAAAGCTTTTGTGGGATTCTCTCATTAACGAATGGAAATGCACACGCATCAAATTTGCAATTTGCAGTATTACTCTCTCCTTTCCCGATATTTTTTTTTAATTTTAATTTTAATTTTAATCCACAAGAAATACGAGGATACGTGAACGAGGAGATTGAATCTATCTGTCGATGAACTCCCGGAATTTTTTACTATCATCGTTAACTTTGATATCGAGTTATTATAGAGGAATTAGCATTCGTGGATGGAGCATCGATTTAAATGGGGGGCGAATTAATCATTGTACTGCGACGAATTGTCCTTTTTATTTTAATCACTGCGAATAGTGGGTGATAAATTTAACAAGTGTTAATGACATGGCACGTTTCTACTTGTATTAACTTGTTCAAATAATTAATTAAGTTCTTCTGAAGCTGACGAAGAAAAGTAACGATCTACGAAGTGTGAGTGTTATATAGAATGAAGTATAATTTTGCAATAACGTACGACGAGTTCGTTCCTCTATTTGCGAAGAATGGAAAAACGAATAAAAATTTTATGGAAGCAAATTATTATATTGTTCGTAAAATTTTATGAAAGCAAATTATTATATTGTTCATAATATACTGGATTAATTAATTAATCAAGTTCTTTCGAATTTAATATAGGGGAGCAGTGTTCCATGGACTGTGGGTGTTATGGAAAATGAAATATAATTTTATTTTCTTGTAAAAGACAAAATTCTTTTTTAATTTCGTGAATGGAAAATATTGAATAATAAGACCATCGAAGACAGATAAATAATATACAAGGTAAATTATGCGAATAGGATGCAAAATAATATTTCACTGTAAATGTAAATAATAATATAAAAATTGAAAAAGAAAAGAAAAATTATTCGTTCATCTATAATAATAAAAATATACTTTGATATCTGCTGATATATAAATTCCAAACTGTGTTGATGTTTAGATTAATAATTTTAATACTTAATTTAATATCTCGATAAAGATAATAATTTAATAAATTTCAAATTTCGAAAATTTGTTTAACTTAATAGTTGTAAGGCACAGATTTCTTTTCGTTAAAAATAAAAGATTGTATCGATTGATTAAAACGGAAATATAGGCTTCTATTTAAAACAAAATGTAATCATACCTCCCAGAAAGCATCGGTGCATAAAACAGCGTGAAGTTAATTCGAGAATATACCATGTTCCATATCATTTCATTTTGCCTTATGACATTTTTCCCATCTCTAACAGTTACAAAGATATGCCTGACCCAGTTATGTGGAACATCCGGTATAATTACACGTGTCACAAACTGATTAAGTTAACGAAGAAATAAGTAGAACAAGGTGAAAAATTGAGTAAACATAAATCTGTGGTGCAATTTATGGAATTACTTAAAACGTTCAGATCCTTAGATTTTGAAGAAACGATTCCCTGTGAGTGTATGAATGTATTTTGGAATGATAATTGAGTCTTTAATTAAATCTGAACCTCGCATTTAAATTTATTCATACTCTCGATAATAATAATTCTGCAATAACACGACTAATCACATGAAGATCTCATAGTGAATTAAAAAATTAGAGATTTTATAAAATAAATATGTTCTCGTGACATCCATTAATATCTATTTTAATCTTCTACAAATTCTATTAATTTATTTAAATGCACGGAGATATGAGAATTTTTTTAAATTCATAGAAATAGGATGAGAATTTAAAGGATTCGTAAAAGATATTAGGAGAATTTTGAAAAATTCCTACAAATATTAGAATAGTTAAAACATTCGTGGAGGAATGACGAAAATTTTAAAAAATTCGTAGGAATATTTGAAAAATTAAAAGATGCGTAAAAATTTGCGAAAACTTAAAAGAATTCGTAGGAATATTTAAAAAATTCTAAAATGCGTTAGAAAATTGCGGAAACTTAAAAAAATTCGTAGAAATATTAAAAAAAAATTTTAAATGCGTTAAAAAATTTACGAAAATTTAAAAGAATTTGTAGGAATATTTAACAAATTTAAAATGCATTAAAAAATTGCAAAAACTTAGAATTCGGAGGAATATTTAAAAAAATTTCAAATGCGTTAAAAAAAATGCGAGAACTTGAAAGAATTCGTACGAATACTATAAAACACAAAAAATTGATAAAAATAAAAAAAATCCGACAAAACAACTTTTCCAATCTCTTACCATTCCCGTCACAATCCGCAATCAATTTCCAAATTCATAACATCCCAATTTTCCCAACGAATCCGAACGAATCCAAGAAACGAAATTTCGCACTAAAACGAGCAATCGTTCCGGCGAAAAAATAAACTTCATACACAGCCGTGAAATTCTTAACGAACAAACGAATGCGTTCCGAATGCACACAGTAGAAAACTACGTCGCATTCCCATCGAGGCAGAGCTTTGGGACGAGCGATTTCGTTAAATAATAATTTCTAATAACCGCAATAACGAGGACGTCGGAAATATCGTTGATTTTATTTCTCTACACAGAACACGGCACACGTCGGAATTCCGTCGCAGCTGACCCGATAAGAGGCACGTGGAATTGCGAAATCGCGGTTTGCATGGCTAATAAAAATGTCAACCGACCGCCTGATTGCACGCGAACAGCAATATATGGCGTGCTCGCTGCGAACCGCATCTGTTTATTATGGCAATGATATATCGCCACTCGTGACCGACTTTTCAGCCGAATTTTCATCTATCGGACGAATTAATTTGATAAAGACCAAAGGTGTTTCTCGTGTACACACTCAGGATTTCAGAAAACGTTTCGTATTAACATTACGGTATCGGTAGTCTGATCTCCAAGAGACGTGCGTGACTCCGAATGATCATTAAAATCGTACTCCATTCTGAACCGATGTTAACGGCTTGAAAAATGGTCTCTAGGTACCTGGGCGAGTTGACAGTCGATAGGAATGGGAGTCCAATTTGCTATAGCGAAATGGGTCCACCTTTTCTGATACAACAGCGAAGATAGGTCACGAGATTTTTATTATTAATCGACAGTTACAAACAGCAATATACTTTGTCGTTGAAGAAATTGAACAGGATCAGTGATGAAGCATTGGCATAAGCTAGCAAGGATCAATATTAACTCTTTAATATAAGATAAACGGAGCGTCGACGTAACTTGTGCTATCACTGTGTCAGAATTTGCTATTAAGTGTCTGAAAGTATGAATTTCAAGAGTATCAAGGGTGAAGTCCGGTGGAGGGAACGGAATACTCTTAGATAATAGGAAGAAGGTTAAGATGAAGAATGTAATTGAAATCACAGTGTAATAGGTACCACTTCTAACATAATTGCGAAGACAGAGCAACGTGAATTTTTATTATTGATTAGGTGTATCTTGTCTACGAAATGGTATTAAATAGCATAGAAATGAAGAAATATGGAAGAAATATGGACCAATTTAGAGGTTATGTAAATATTTAACTATTTAACTAGTACAAAGAGCTTAAGAGTAGGGATCTCAAGAACGTCCAAGTCCGATACTTAATTCAAACGAATACTGCATCGATCCTGTGATTTATGCGGATTATTCGTTCCATGTGTTATTTCTTTTAACATGGAAGGGATAACATAGAGACAAGAGTAATCCGATTACCACGTCTATTCTCATCTTTCGTGATCACGATAACAAATAATTCTCGAAATATATTTAAAAACATTTTAATTAGAAAAGTCTGTACGATTAACTATTTACATTCGACAATACCTTCTGAGAATAATGTCTCCTCCAAGAATAATATTTCTGATGATTCAGAGAAACAAGGACTACTGAAGAATACTAACTAAATATACCTAAACAATTGGATATTGTATATATAATTAATATCCCAAAGAATTCCTTTGCCAAGTCAAGCAAAAGGCTAAGAGATGACACCTGGAATCTCAATATGACAGTTCATGACACTGATCACGAACCGACGTCCAAGTTAACACTAAACGTACCGGTACTTCACATATAAAGTGCTCAATGGTCTTATAAATTATTCTGATATATTAGAAAAATTCTCAATTAATGTTCCAACTTTTCATTTAAGACGATACAACTTTCTTCATATACAACAACATAAAACCACTTTTGCATACCACTCAGGTATTAATAGAATGATTATTAATGTTAACAACTCTTATGCTACCCTAGATCTATTCAACCAATCTCTTCACTCCATAAAACAGCTACTACATCATACCTTTCTGTTAAAAATTTTTTTTTCTTATACTTATACAAATCTCGTCTGTTTGTATATTTGTATATTTTTATTTTTATTTTTATTTATTTTTTTTTCTTTGTTACCTTTAATTTTACACGTCATTGTAATAATTTTCTTGTAATTTTTCTAATGGATTAATCTCGTATATATAAATAAATAAATATACCTATTCTTACCATAAGAGGTCAAATGACCCCTCGTGGTATCCTCGTGGCACCCCCTCGTGGTATAAGGTATGCAAATAATATTTCTCGGTGAAAAGTAAGTTAAAAGAAAAATGGAAAGCGAGAAATTAAACAATCAGATAATATACGAATTTACAGAAAGTCAGATGAGCAAAAAAATAGGAATAAATGTACAATTATAAAGTAAATTTTGAAAATGGTCATTTGACCCTGCTTGGTACGTTTAGTGTTAAACCCAAACACGGAGTACCGGGGTACCGAAGTTGGAGAACCCGCAGTTCCGAATGGCTTCAAAATTCTACTCTCCTCTTTAAAAGCTACAGCACTGCAGCGAAATGATACAACTTGGCTGACACGCAGTTACGTAAGACCCACGTACAACAGGGTTACACAACACGTGGACACAAAGAGCGTCCAGGAGACGTAAATTCCTTCAGCCACCCCGACGAGAGACGACGAAGGATGTCTTGAGGGCGGGCTAGACGAAATTGGCAGGAAAAGGAGGATTCTAAAATTAAAGGCTTCCCCTTTGGGAACGATTTCGAGGGTCCGTACGTGACACTCACCCTTGTCGTCTGCCCGGAACTCCTGTTGAAGTTCTTCTTTGGTTGGCTCTGAGTTTGATTTGGTCCCCGTCTGTTTCGTCGAGGATTCAGTCTCTTTCATACTCTTCCTGGCGTGATGGCCGCGGAAAGCCGCTTGTATCCTGGTCGCGGCTTCTTCCCTTTGCTTTTCTACGCCCTTTCCCTCGGTCCTCTTTTCTTCCTTACCCTCGTTTAAGCTCTTCGACTCTGACTCCTTCTTCGACTCCTTCGATTCCTGCGTCTTCTTTTGCGACGCCTCCTCTGCCTTCGTTGGACTGCTGCTCTCCGATACTTTCAGGATATCTGAAAATTCATACGAGATTATCACTCATGGATCAAAGCATCGGAAACTTGCATGGTTTGTTTTCTTGAGGCATTGATTTGAGTGGATGCGAGTTTGAGAGGATGATGCATGGATTCTACCAAATCGCTTGCAGGATTCCTACAAAGTGGAATGGAGGAAGGTTTCAAGGGGATGTTTCTCATGTGTTGGTGTGTATGGATGACGATATGAGAAATATGATATTAGCATTGAAAATTACTAGTGACACTTTTTCAGCTTTGTCAGCTTTTACAGATATTAAAGATACAAAATAGCTTTTTACAAAATTGGTATTGATTTTTATTATGATGAATATAAATTATAGACCTGGCTGTTTTCATCGTATCACTTTACTTCTTGTTTTGTATGTATAGTTACTATTTTAGAAATACACTAGAGGGCGTATGGGGCTCTAGTGTTAGTACATCTTTTGACGTAATAAAAGTGACGTTAACATACCATTTTTATTAATATGTTTGTTATTTATTACGCGATATTTTTGATCAGGAAGTTTGAGAATCGAAAGAGAAATAATGATATAAGAAATTAATTTAAATAAAATTCCTAGACACATCAGTGCCGTCTAGTGCAATTCATTGTAATTAAAATTAATTCTATAGAATGTAATCTGTTTTCCTGTCAATTTCTGTATTCGATGACTATCTAGAAACAGTATTAACCTCTTCAGGGATACTGACACATGTGCACGTTTAGTTTTTTTATCTCTTTGCACTCGTCGACTTTTTGGTTAAAGAAGAGTAAGAGTTCAAAGAATTTTTGCTATAAAGCTGACGATATTTTTTTGAGCAGAAAATAAGAAACAGTATAATAATTTCAAATATAAAAATAACATTTTTAAATATTTCTGTCATATTTTCCAGCATTATAATTCTATAATTTTGTAATTCTAAATCTATAATTAGAAAATAATGACAATGATAAAATAGGAGACTTAAATACAATATTAATGTTCAGATAAAGAAAAAATAATAATAGTAATAAAATAAGAAATTTCCCAAAAAGCAAACAATTTTAAATATAAAAATAATATTTCTAAATATTTCCATCACATATTCCACCATTATAATTCTATAATTTTATAATTGTAAATCTATAATTATCAACGCGAATTCCGCGATCAGAGAAGTTTGTGCAAATATTTCGCTGGATGTTTGCAAAGCAGCATGCTTACTTTGACACGTTGTATACATTGAAACTCGTGCAGATTCGATAAAAATTCTTTTAATATGATCCACGTATCACTAGCTGTGTATATTTAACATATGCATGTCTCAATGAACGCGTACCATTCGCCAAGAGATTTAATCATAGACTCCGAAATACACGTATCGTACGCAATTCTCTTTGAACTCGAGTTTCACATAGTTGTCTTGATTAAACTTCAAGCTCTCATTCCTTTGGGAATTGGTAGATACGCGAATCCACGGTTACTCTATTTTGATCTCGCGCGGGCTATAAATCCGCCAGCTTTAATTACTGAGTTTGAAATACACGTATGCATATGAGAAAAAAGACCACTGACCGTGGCGTTGAATAATTTCCTCGGGTTAGGTCGGATTTTCCGAAACTTGTCAGAGTTTTGAAAACGTGGAAAAGATAATTTCTCGGTACGCGGTTTTCTCGCGTTTAATATGTATGGCTGAAGTTTAAGGAGAGTGTTTGCATGAGAAATCGAGAAGAATATACGAGTCGAGGTTAAACAAAGATTTCTATACCAGACGTGGGCAAATTGTGTTTCTAACTGAGACGAATTTCGAGGAATCGTGGATTTATGAATTATTTCTTGGGTAATGAAGAATTGTTCGTGAAAGGCGAAGATAAATAGGTGTTAAGAATAATTATATGTACTCGGAGACTCTGTGTCACAAAATGTATGTAACATTCACGACCTTCACGTTTCTTATTTGAGAATAATTATTTCAGAAGAGGAATATATACAATTCTGATTTCTCAAATCGTAAATTGAAAAACTTAGAAGACTATAATATATATTTCAACATAACTTGTGTCAATCAGTGGAATTAATAGAACAAGAATAATAAAAATGATAAAATATTAATATTAAAATGAAAGAAATTTAAATAAAATTTTGAGAAACTTTTTAAGTGAAAGAAAATGATTTTCACTGTGAAGACAAAACTGTGAACCGAAAGAGAAATTTAATTCTTATTCAAGGAAATACATGTCTATAACCTAATATATATTTCTTAATTGCATTAAAATATCTGAATCTTAAAAAAAATTAAAAAAAAAAATATAGCATAAAAGAGAAAGTCTTTCACTGCAAAGAGAAAAGAAGAAAGATAATTATGTGTTGAAATAAAAATTAAATTGACAATAATTCAAAGAAATACATTTCCATAAATAGAAAAGAGTATTGGAATACGTTTCTATTAATAGAAAACAGATTAATACAGCTAAATTAGGCTAAATTATATTATTTATTATGCAGTTTGTAAGAAGTACAAAGAGAGAGTGAAATGTTAAAATGCAAATAGTACAAACAATAATAATAACTTAAATAATTTTTCAAATATTCATACCATCAATTAGCTAGAAAGTTGTCAAACCCAAATACATCTCCATTTAGACTAAAAAGATTCACTCCCCTAAACCCGGTACGCCGATTCTACTAATAACTCAAACTCCATCATTATACTGTACATACTGTAAGTAATCAACTGATGCATCGATTTACGTATTTGCTTTTCATGTTCCGCATAACACTATCATTTTTACTTATAATTCCCATTTCAGGAATTGATTGTAAAACTCGGGAAGTCAATAAAAAAAAAAAAAAAATTCAAACCTTCTCCACCACATGCACATCTCGAGACTCTAAAATGCAGACTACAAAAACCGCAGCCATCCTCACATCCTGAAGAGAAGAAAAAAAGACCGTTGTTAAAACTCAACAACGATTCTGTCCCTCAAGCCAACGCACCTAATTCGTGTGCCAGGCAGCGAGTACCCCGCAGCTCTTACGCTGAGCTCGTGAGTCTTCTTGCAAATACGGAACACCCACCTCACCGGCTATCATAAACGTAAAATAAAAAAAAAGGAAAAGAAAAGGGGGAAAAAAAGAAAAATGGGGAAAAAAAAAGACGAAAGAGGAGAAGAGAAAAAATAAAGAAGGGATAAAAGGGGAGCGGAATGAAAGAGAGAGAGAGAGAGAGAGAGAGAGAGAGAAAGGAAAGAATGCACTCGCGTGAGAGACGGTGATAACAAAGGGGGTTGTGAATCATTGCTGGCGCAGCGTTAGTGACACGTGCACAGGGTGCATACACGTGCACCTTGCCGGTAACGCGCGTCTAATTACTTGGTCGTGTTTCGTGCAGGACCTATCCCAAGGCGGCATGCTTTTTCCCTGGCCCGAGCACACGCCTCAAGGAATAGCTTTCAACCCCCGAAAGGAGAAACCGTGTCTGATAAGCGAAAAGACCGGCGAATGCGAATTGGGAGATTAAGAAAGCGAATCGCGACGGCTGAGAATTAATTTTGCGGGAATTTTTGGTGTGTAGAAAGCCGGGAATGTTGAGTAATTTTAGGAGAAAACTATGATATTTTTGGAATTGTTATTAGAATTTTGGAATGGTTGAAATTATTACCAATTACTAATTTTGGGATGATTGAAGTAATTATTACTATTTTTGAACGATTGGAATTATTATTACTAATTTGGAATGCTTGGAATTATTATTACTACATGTTTTGGAATGATTGGAAGTATTATTACCAATTTGGAATGCTTGGAATTATTATTACGACATATCTTGGAATGATTGGAATTATTATTACAACATATTTTGGGATGATTGGAATAATTATTATTTTTTTTTTAATGATTGGAATAATTATTTCTACATATTTTGGAATGATTGGAAGTATTATTACCAATTTGGAATGGTTGGAATTATTATTACTACATATTTTGGAATGATTGGAAATATTATTACCAATTTGGAATGATTGGAATTATTATTACTAATTTGGAATGCTTGCAATTATTATTACTACATATTTTTGAATGATTGGAATTATCATTACTACATATTTTCGAATAATTGGAATAATTATTTCTAAATATTTTGGAATGATTGGAATTATTATTACTACATATTTTGGAACGGTTAGAATAATTATCACTATTTTTGAATAGTTGGAGTTATTATTACTACGAATTTTGGAATGATTGAAATTATTATTACCAATTTAAAATGATTGTAATTATTATTGCCACATATTTTGGAATGGTTGGAATAATTATTACTATTTTTGAATGACTGGAAATATTATTACCACGTATTTTGAAACGATTGAAATTATTACCAATTTGGAATGATCGCAATTATTATTACCATTTTGGAATGATTGAAGAGAAAATAAATGGTGTCAAAGATATGTGACTGATATAATTACTCTTAACATTTAAAATTAATTTTGAAATAGTTATTGAAATTTTATTTGCAATTTCACATATCAGAACCTGTCTGTAACCTAAGAAAGGAAACAGTGGGACCAAAATAATTATTCCTGTATCGATCACTCATCAAACATAACAATAATAATTTTATTTGCAATTTCACATATCAGAAACCTGTCCGTAACTCATCACCATAAAATAACAACAAAAATCCCGATATTAGCTACATCCACGGATCATACTTCATCACTCGTAATCCGATAATTCCGCGTAATCCCAAAAGGGTGTCAATAATTTTAATACATCGCGTATTTTATTACCCAGGGACCTCGAATAAACTCGTCAAAATGTTTATGAAAACCGATTGAAAATCCAACAACGCCCGATATAAATTTCTGCCAGGCGAAATCCGGCGTTAATGAACGCGCTGGACACGTACTGTCAAGAGTATCGGTAATCGTTGGAACGAAAAACACGAGGGTATTACGAAATTGCAGGCGTAATTGTCGATGATTAAACGCTGTTTATTCGCTGACG